TATATATATATATATATATATATATATATATATATATATATAAAATCTTTAATATTGCAGTATAGTTTTCATCCTCATATGATACTTTTAGCTGTCAGGAATGATAGACGCTTAAGGCAAAAGTTACAGCTACACTATTTATAATGGGTTACATCCTTTTTACTAAAATATATTAATCAGCAGAAGTCAAGAATACTTTAATATAGGCACTTTAATGAGGTAATGTTCATTACATATTTTAAACAAACAATTTTTTTTTCATAGCTAGCGTTGCCCTGACCTCATAGCTAAGATAAGATCAAGTCTTTTATGGCTCCCAGTGACATTGTGAGTATGTAATGCTTATATTAACTCTTAAATGGTTTCTGTATCCTGGGGGTTACAGGTATTTGAGAGTCTGAAGTGAGGAACAGTGAGTGAGTGGGCCTAATTTCTAAGTAAAATATTAAAAAGGGTCCCTGAGGCAGGTCAAGGGGTCTTAGAATAAAAACTCTGGCATTAATTCATCATTTTTATCTGACTTTAGGGTAAATGTTATTCATCTTGCTCACTTCTTTTTATGTCCAAAGCAACTTACATTGCATTCAAGGGTCACATAGTATTATCACTTCTTGCATTCCAGGGGAATCGAACCCATCACCTTGGTTTTGCTAATACTAAGCGTTGCCATTTGCGCTACACAGGAAAAACTGTAAGCAGTTATTTTGATGTTTCAAAATAGCAATACATTAATTGAATATAGGAATAGATACAAGTTTAAATTCAAATGCACTATAACTGTAGACAGCATGAATAAACAAACAAACAAATAAAAAAAAATACTGGATATCCAAGGGGGAAACAGACTTTTACAACTTAAATTGTTTTTTGTTTAATAAAATGAAAAGATGCCTTTAATGGGAACATACAAACACATTCTATGAATGTTTCTAATGTAAGAAATGTAGAGAGTTACAATTGTACCCAGACGCGCCTATCTACAACACAACTAAAGAAGACAGTCAAATCCTCTGAGAACATCACCTGCGAACGTGGAATGCAAGTCTCCGTCCAATAGAATGAGCCTGTGGGCGTGTCCTCCTGCTGCCATCCATGCACAAGTTAAAACTGAGCTCGCGCTGACTCTGTGGGAATGCCGCGCGAGCATCCTGGCGCGAGTGTGGGATTTCTCAACTTTCTGTATTTGTCTCCTCTTCCCTCTTGGATGTAAAGCATAAGAGCGGAAAACCCCATCGATCTCCATTTGGATATCTCATTTGCCCAAGAACCTCCTGTGGCTGTGTACACTGCGCGTTCAGCATGGAACTTCATAGATTTTTCATTCTCTTGCTTTCACTGACAGGTAGTTCAGCGCGAGGAGTTGAAACGCACGGATTGTCGTACGCTTACACGCCAGAACTCTCGGAGGACGCGATACTGGTGGCAAACAACGGCATACACGTGCCTTTCGGGAGATCTGTTTACATCGATCCGATCAACGACTTGGTCATTGAAGTTCAGCCTGGAGACAGGTGCATTATTACCGTTCTGGATAATGATCCGCTGTCTCAGAGACCGGGACACGTGTCTCCTAAAAAGTTCTCATGTGAATTTGGTCCTAACGATGTGAGATACTCTCATTTCGGTTCTAGGAGCCCTTTGAGTGACAGGGTCAAGCTGCAACTCAGGTATGACACTCAGACTGAAACTATTATCATCCCCTTTATGCTAGAGGTGGAGGTTGTTTTCACACAATTGGAGATTGTTACTAAGAACATGCCTCTTAATGTTGATAAACTGCGTGGGACTAGTAATCCAATCGGCAGAAAGGTTTTAGACTTCACCTATGATAAAACCTCAGAACAATGTGAGGTAACATCACTGGCAGCCAGCAGTGCGCTTCCTAGATATGGTAAAGTTGTTGATGAGAGCAAACTGGAGAAAATGATGGATTGTGATCTGTTTCTCAAATCAGATATCCGCTATGAGCACACATCGACCCACAAGTCCCCTAACAAGGATTACATCCCAATGGTTGTGGAGCTACGGAGCAAAGAAAATAATTTACTGAAACAAGAGTTTTTCCATGTGATGATTCGGATAAAAGAGGGTGAAGAAAACACTCCCCCCAGACCGAGTTTTGTGGCTATGATGATGATGGAAGTTGATCAGTTTGTTATGACGGCTTTAACTCCTGATATGTTGGCTGCGGAGGATACAGAATCCAATCCTGATGATCTCATTTTCAACATCACTTCTCCTCTGTCCTTTGAGGAGGGCTATATTGTGAGTACAGATGATAGGAATTTACCTATCACATCCTTTTATCAAAGGGATCTCAAAGATCTGAAAATAGCATACAAACCTCCCTCTTTGGACTCGGATACCGAGAGGATCTTTCAAATAGAGTTTGAGGTCATAGACACAGATGGTGGCATTTCAGATCCTTTTGCGTTCATGATTGTTGTGAAGCCCATGAATACATTAGCGCCAGTAGTCACTAAGAATACTGGCCAGCTTTTATATGAAGGCCAGTCTAGGTCTTTGTTTACTCAGAACAATTTAGAAATAAGTGATGAAGACAACCTGGACAGTGTGAGGATAACGGTGGTTGATGGACTGCGTCACGGTCACTTAACTGTTCTAGGCACCAACAAGAAGTATTTTACGCCAGCTGATCTGGAGGTCGGCATTGTGGTTTACCAGCATGATGGCAGTGACACATACAGTGATAATATAATATTCAGAATGTCAGATGGCAAGAATGAAGTTGAGTTTTTGTTCCCCATCACAATTGTACCCACAGATGATGAACCACCCATCATAAATGCAAACACTGGGCTGATTTTATTCAAAAATCAGATGGTGCCCATCTCTCAGCTCATGCTCAGTGCAGCAGACATCGACTCTGAAGATTCCACCATTACATTTACAAACAAGCCTCCATTTTCTGCTATTGGCGAGGTCGTGGTGAGGCAATCTGAAGCACCCGAGGACCCATCCTCCTGGAAATTTAATGCAGAAGATGGTGTGTATGAGAAAGTTGTGACACAGTGGCTCCAGAAAGATATTACAGATGAAAAGCTCTTCTATAGGCACATAGGTCCACACATCACAGAGGCAGTTACTGATCAGTTCGTTTTTAGAGTACAAGATGATGCCGATCCTCCCAACCAATCTGGTGAGAATTCATTCATTATTAAAATTTTACCTATTGATGATATTCCACCCGTGCTGTTCCCAGGCAGTACTTTGCAGATGACAGTACATGAGTACCAGCTGACTCATTTCAACAAGAATGTTCTTCGTTATACTGACTTGGACTCTGAAGACCGTGACCTGAAATATACAATAACTCAACCGCCAACTGACACAGATGAGAATAATCCCATTAAATTTGGGTCTATTGTATTGACTGACAGCCTGGATACTGACGTAACAGAATTTACTCAAGCGCAACTGAACCATCATAAGATTTCCTACAGCCCACTAGACCTTGAGCTTGGCATCACACCTCATGTGGTGCAGTTCCATTTCACAGTAGAGGACACTGCTGGAAACAGTGCTAATGGAGTTTTTACAATTTTCCTGCAGCCTGTGAACAACAAACCCCCACAGATAATGAACACTGGATTCACAATCCTTGAGAGAAGGGTGCATGTCATCACGAGTGCTGAACTCGACGCAAATGACCTTGACACTGACAGTAAGCAAATTTCATTCACGCTAAGTCAAACTCCACAGCACGGACTTGTTCAGCATACGTTTACTGACTTGAAAAAAGGAAGCCGTTTCAATTTGATGGATATCTCTGATGGCAAAGTGTCATATATCCACAATGGGGATGAAACGACAAGTGACTCTTTTAAATTGGATGTTAGTGACGGTGTTCATGTTGTAACAATCACTGTGAAGGTAGCGGTAAAGCTTATTGATGATGAGACACCAATGCTCAGCCTCACAAAGGGCACCTTTGGCTCTCGCTTGGATGTGCTGGAAAATGGTGCCACAGAAATTACCACCAGTGTTATCCAGGGAAAAGATGAAGACACTGATGACCTGAGGTTGACGTTCATTGTGGAAGAAGCCCCTAAGTTTGGAGAAATTCTGGTGAGTGGAGTTTCCTCAAGCAGATTCACCCAAGCTGATATCATCAGTGGTCTGGTTGTGTATGCTCACACCAGCGGTGAGATTGGTCTCCCTTCGATAGAAGACTTTTTTAACCTGACCCTCTCTGACATGTCTGATGAGTGGACTGTAGGGGGTAACCAAGTAAATGGAGTCAGTGTTCACATCACCATTCTGCCTGTAGATAACCAGACTCCAGTGGTCACAGTTGGCCCTACCTTTACCGTCTTTGAGGGGGATAAAAACACAATTGGTAGGCATCATATTATGGTTGAAGATGCAGACACACCAATTGAGGACATCCTGTGCACCATCATTGTTCAGCCTACATCAGGATATGTGGAGAACATCTCTCCAGCACCAGGCTCTGAAAAGTCAAGGTCGGGAACGGCAGTAAGTGCTTTTACCATCAGAGATGTGAATGAAGGTCATATCCATTATGTCCAAAGCATACATAAAGGAGTTGAGCCAGTGGAGGACAAGTTCACATTTAGATGTTCAGATGGTGTGAATTTCTCAGAGAGGCAGTTCTTTCCAATTATAATTATTCCCACCAATGATGAAAAACCGGAGATCTTTATGCGAGAGTTTGTTGTAATGGAGGGCATGAATGTTATCATTGACATGCCACTCTTGAATGGAGTCGATGCTGATGTTCCTGCAGAAGAATTGACGTTTATCATCACCAAACCCCCAAATCATGGGTTCATCCTCAATCAGCTTGCAAGTGGCTCTGTCCCAATCACAAATTTCACTGTGGAGCAAATCAAGGAAGCTTCTAGCATAATTTATGAGCATGATAATTCTGAAACCACAGAAGACAAGTTTGATGTTCTTCTTACAGATGGGAAACATTCAGCTGAGGCCACCATCATGATCATGATTATCCCTGTGGATGATGAAACACCAAGGCTTGCCATTAATGATGGGCTTGACATTGACATTGGTGAGACAAAACAGATAAACAGTAAAGTACTAAAAGCTACTGATCTGGACTCAGATGATGAGTCTCTTACTTTCATAATTCGCTATGGCCCCGGTCAGGGCTTCCTTCATAGAAGATCAGCAGGATATGTGGAGGAAAGATCTTCTGGGTCTCTAGAGAACATAACAGTTGGCATGAACTTTACACAAAACGAGGTGAACAATGGTCTCATTTTGTACACTCACAATGGACAGGAAGGCATTCGAGACCTTATAAAGTTTGATGTAACAGATGGCATAAATCCTCTAATTGACAGATATTTCTATATTACTGTGGGCAGCATTGACATAGTGTTTCCTGATGTCATCAGCAAAGGGGTGTCTCTTAAAGAAGGTGGCAAAGTGACACTCACAACGAACCTTCTCAGCACTAGTGATCTCAACAGCCCTGATGAGAACTTAGTCTTCACCATTACAAGAGCCCCGGTGAGAGGGCATTTGGAAAGCACAGATTCGCCAGCTATGCCTATTGTGTCCTTTACTCAATTACAGCTGGCCGGAAGCAAGATCTACTACATTCATACTGCCGATGATGAAGTCAAGATGGACAGCTTTGAGTTTGAGGTGACCGATGGCTACAACCCTGTGTTCCGCACGTTCCGTGTTTCGATTGTTGATGTTGACAATAAAAAGCCGGTACTGACCATTCATGACCTTCAAGTGACCGAGGGACAGACCAAACTCATTACGCCCTTTGAGTTGACCGTTGAGGACCAAGACACAGCTGAGCACCTTCTCAAGTTTACCGTCACCCAGCTACCCATTCACGGCAAACTGCTCTTCAATAACAGTCGACAGGTGACTTTGTTTACAAAGCAGGACCTGAATGAGAATATGATCAGCTACAAGCATGATGGCACAAAGTCGGACAAGGACAGCTTTTCTTTTACAGTCACTGATGGCACCCATTCCGATTTTTTTGTCTTTCCTGATACCATTTTTGAGACCCAAAGGCCTCAGACCTTGAAGATTACCATTGTGTCAGTGGACAACGGTGTGCCACAGATTGTAGTTAACAAAGGTGCACCGACTTTAAAGGTCTTGTCTGCAGGTCACTTAGGTTATCAGATCACAAGCAAAGTCCTGAAGGCAGTGGACAGAGACAGCAGCCCTGAGGCTTTGGTTTTTCACATTACAACACAGCCAGAGCAAGGCTACCTGATCAGCCTGGCCCGAGGGAATGACTCAATCAACATCTTCACACAAGGTAATGTATCATCAGAAATGTTCTTATCACCTATGATTGGTTCCTGTGAAATCGTATTACTTTTTACATTTGTTTTGCTAGAACTGTGCAGTGTTATGCTCTGTAGAACCATCATTTGAAGATACGCATGTAAGAATTGTCTCCTTAAGAAATGCTATGTACCCATCATGTTCAGGACAGGTTCTCTAGTCTTATTAATGCTTGAAATAATGTAGGTTCCATCACAAAACAGGCACTTTGCCCTTTGCCAAGAGTGCAGGCTGTAAGATGTGTCTGTCTTTTAGCCTTCGGCTTAAATTCTTGATGAGACAACTAGAGTGTTCACACATCTCCTTTCAATTATTAAGTTCTCATACTTTTGCCTTCTAACGTCCCTGTAGTGAGAAAGGAGTTACTGGTTCCAGGCAAACCACATTTTAAACAGAGTTAGAAGTGAAAGGTGTAATTTTTCTGCTGCTAGCCATAACAAACAGACTTGCAATCTTTGGGGGTTTTTTGAGCATCTTGACTGGGTCGTACCAGCAGCATGAGTTTTGTGCTCATGCTTCATTGTTCAGATAAACATCCCCGTCTGTGAAAATTCTCACCTGGACTTATTAAAACCTAAAAATCTTTTTATCAACATGTTTTTTTTGCAAAACCAAGCATGCTCTTTGAATTATAATGCAGATATTTTTAAGTTGATCGGTTTATAGGACAATTTGATCTTGAGGGTTTCACTCTAGGGTTTGTAGAGGGTTACAAATGGCTTCATTATGATGGCAGCATCATAATGTTACTGTTACACAGAGATTGGTTGGTCTATTAGTAAAACCTGTTGACTTTAGCAATCTATGTTGCATTATGTGCCAATGGTGACCATTCAAAATGGAGAAACAGCACTTTTCAAGTTTTTTTTCTCTCCAAAGTTTGCATGCCTGTTACTCAAGAAGTATTAAACATATCTTAATGCTCTTTTAGATATTGGGTCTTAAACTTTCCTTTTTAAATCTTTATTTTATATTGTTCAGTTCCAGAGATATTGGAATTCCAATATTCCTCCAGGAGTAAATCGTTAAATTGTACACATTTCCAGTGGTCAAAAAACAAATGTGGGTCACTTTTTAAAAATATAGTGCTTCTTTTCTTTTGAAGAGGAATGTCTGAAGACATAATGTTGAAATTAGAAATGTATCTGGTTTCCTTTTGTCAAAACAACTGCATTGAACATATCTGTCTGAGTGCCATAAATATTCTCTTTCTAAAGTTCGTGTACCTATAATTCAAGAAATATTAAAGATATCGCAATATGATTTTATATTTTAGTTCTTAAACTTTTCTTTCGGAATCTTCATTTTCAAGGACCTGTATTGTTCAGTCGTAAAAGATATGGGGTTGCCACAGAATGACCCTAATTAATTTTTTCTTTATTATTATTACATTTTAGATTTTTTAAATAAGCGTTTGTTAATTTTAAAAATTATTTATATTTATTTTACATTTTTTATCACAAAATTAACACATTCAGTTGACAGGACCAGTTTTTAGAATTGTTTTTGTGTTATGTTTCTATTTGTTTCCTTCACTATTTTTCTCTTTCTCCCTCCCCCTTTGGGAGCATTTGTCCCTCTGTCAGTCATCTCTCAATTCAGGCAGGAAAGACTGAGGAGTAGGAACTCGTTGGTATGCAGCTGTGTTGGTGTCTGACCTCTGAGCCCAGTGGGTCATTACCAGTTTTGTTTCTTTGCATTCCTGTGAATGGTTTCACTCTATTGGTTATGGAGGCATTTATTTTATTGGAAAGACCTCAAGCAGTAAGGGACTATCTGTATCTTTCACATTTCATTTTACAGATGTAGTGTGCAAACACAAAAGGGCTCAGCTGAGCGTTTTTTATCACGAGGTGCCTCAAGGCTTTCTCCCAGGACCCCTTTTTCCCACATTTGTGCAGTAATGTACAGCTTCAGCATGAAATTCAGTGATTACAACCACTTTGCCACATTATGCCTGAAGAAGCTGAGCTAATTAGGCTATCTTAGTTTGTGCTTGTCCAAAGAGCCTGACAACCACAGCTAACATCATAAACTCCATTTTACAGCCAATTTGTGTTAAAACAGCTGCATTTATTTAATGCACTCTGTTAGACTGCGACTTACGTATTTAGTACAAGTAGTATTCCAGAGGGGTTTAATTAATTGTTTTGTTTTCTCTGCATTCACTATAATGATGATGAGGCTGCTTTTCAATGCAAAGAACTATTATGTTTATGTTTTCTGCATACAGTTTAGAGGACTATTTGAGTTCAAACAAGATTTTGACCTCTGAAGATATTTCTGTGTGTACTTTTTCTGAATTTATAAATCAACCACATTTTTGTTGTACCAGTAAGGCTGCATACTAGCTTTATTTTAGTCTGTAAACTGTCCATCAGAGTTTGGCCTAGATCATCTAATTTTTGTTTATCTTTGCCTCTGTCTCTTTTGCTCTGTTCCAAAACCTAGCAAGCTGCCTCTGGAGACAACATTGTAAGGCATCAAAGGCGCACTGCCGATGCTAAAGCTGTTCCAAAATGTAGGCAACTTCATTATTCTGCCTCCTAAAGCCTCATTCACACAGACAGTGATTCAGTTGATGGAGGTCAGCGAGTTGCTGGGCTGTTGGTTTATAACACAGTCTCTGAAATCACCAGCTTTTATTAAAAATGAATGATATCCAGTTGTTTTGTCATGACAAACTGTTGTCACTACAGTATTAACATACCTTACAAAACCTTTTTTTTAGCATGTATCCCTTGTGGAAAAGGTATAATGCACTGCAACAAGCTCCATTGAAAAAATTAAAGGCAGACAAGGCAATTAATAAATTTATTTTCATTTCATTCAATACCAAAACACATTAATAAACATAATATTTGTGCTATGTATTTTAATACCTAGAAAGTGCACCCTATACCCTCATCCACTGTTCCCTACATTACTCCACTAACATAGTGCACTTAAAGGGGTGAATTAAAACAAGTGAACAAATTCAGACACTGAGTATGCCTTAAGTGCTTTTAGACACCATTGCAGGTGTACTTTATTTGATTTTGTAACATATTTACAATGTTCAAGAACAGCTAGGATTCTGCCTTAGAAGGCAGTTGCCTTTGTATGTAGTCAGTGAGGCAGCTTACTAGGTTTGAGAACAGACCTTGTATCGAAACTCTTTTTTTAGTCACATAAACACCCTTTGACTGACACTAATAAATGCAGTTCTCCATTTGAACTATTTTGCAACTTGCAGCTCCCAAACTTAACGGGTAAAAGATGACAGATTTATCAGTTACCCTTCCTTTGCAAAAGGTCATGACGTGTAGCACTTATTCTGAATCCTCTACACCTCTCACTGCAATCAGGCCTCAGAGGCAGAGATAGAAATATGACAGGAACGACTGCAGGGACACACAGAGGCTACAAAGATCAGAGGGAAGCTGTACGTGATGCATCATAGCTCTGCTGTGGGACTTAGAGATGTTTTTTAAACATTTGTTGATGTGAACTTACACCAGTGTTCGCTCTAAAGCAAAAATGCCATTATGTACTTAAATATTTTTTTTCTGTGTACTGTTAAAAAGAAATCTTGGTTTATTTTCAACAGACCTGACCATCGACATCAGGTTGGGAACCAAAATGGTGCCAATTTTATGCCATTTTAAACCATTTTTGTTTCCTGGAAAGCAATTTCGCAGACTGTTCACCACCATTTAGGTTGTTCCTAAAGCTCTGTTGTGTCTGGGTTAACAAAAAAAATAGAAAAATCTCATTGCTGGCTCTGTTTTCCCTGGTGTATACCTTGTATTGTGAAGGTTTTTTTTACAGGGGATTTGTTGAACAGGATCCAGGGCGCTGTAGGAACAATACAGAACAATACTAATCATAGCATGGTTGTAGATAACCGTATGTTTGTGCGGTTTATTTTCTTCTTCCATATCAAATTAACCAGAAATAACATTGCAATAGAACATTTTTGTAGCTCTGTTTCTCATTGTTGGCTAGACATAAGATTTTGTATTCACATGTGGATTAGCAAGAGCTAGCATTGAATTTCCCCTGAAAGCTTCATCTCTTCAGACTAAACCAAAGGTGGGATGTTTTGTTTGGTTTAGCGCAAACCGCAGAGTGTAGCGCAGGTATTTAGGGTCAGTTCAGATGTGGATTTCTGGATTAACCTTAAACCTGCATGGCTGACTGTTTCAGTGACGAGACCACACCTGCATGTATTCCTGGTTAAACATTTCAAAGTGCCGCTGATCAAGTGGACAGGTGATGGACCAATAAGAGGTTTGCAACTGCTATCTTCAGTCAGTCTGCTGACAGTTAAAGGATCTGCTGTTCTTGCAACAAAGTTCTTCTAAATAAGGTTATGCAGGTCATTGGTGAAGACGGAGGCACAGAAGAAAGTAATTGAGGGCATCCAGGCAAATCATGACCTTCGTTGAAGATAACTTCCTGTGTTTTGTGAGGTTGTGGACCTCTTGTTTAAATCTGAGCAGCCTGGATGCTATGAACTGTCTTTATTGCATGACTGCATGTCCTTGTTGAATGTTTCCAAGGTGTGCAAGACTAGCTCAGCTTTTTGAGCCCAACCAGAAAACAGTAAAGCGGACAGCCAAGACTTTGTGGCTGTAGCCAAGAGCCCATTGAGCTAGACGAGGAGAGGCTAGAGGAACCATGAAATGAACAACAAGCTGCTGTTCTTCGCTCAAGCACGTGCATGTGTTGGTAATTAATTTAGATGATAGTTAGGCTGTTGTGATGTCCTGTTTCTTCATTTTCTGCTCTTTGAGAAGCACCTGTCCCCATTTTTCACTTTGAAAAACCAAAAATAGCCTTGATGACTAGATGTATTCTGTTCTTGATGTTTCAGATCTAGAATCAATGGTGCTTTTTCATGGAAACCTACCGTATGGGGAGGCATAAACTGACACAACTGTTATCATACTTATCCATTGATGTCCAAGTAATCAATCCTGGAAATCAATATAGAAACATGAGTATGTGCAACATGCATAATAGTTTTGATAAACAGGCCTCAAAGTAGCACTTATTTATGACTTGTGTTTAAGTTTTGGGAGTGTGGCGCTCCTGAGGGTTTGTTGATGTTGATGCTGTTGGCACAGAATTAATAAAAAGAAGGAATTGTGCTTTATGGCACATAATACTCTACCCTTCTCATTCATTCTCATATTCAGATTTATTTTCCAGCCCTGATGGTATAAGACCCTCATGAATCACTATAGTAGTTTGTAAGTACCCTCAGGGGTCATCTTCATTTGACTTCTGTCAGACTTTATCCAGTCACTCAGGAGGATTGAGAGCGTATCTGATGAATTATTTGTGAACTCTATTTTTAGATGCTGTTAAGAAGTTCTTCAAACTTTCTGGATAGAGTAAAGCTGCTCATGCACCAGACACTGATTAGCTTTTAATGAGTTATTCTGAGTGAATGTCAGCTGTTGTGTTTTCATGTCTTTCTAGGAAACTCTGTCTGGACTATCAGGCTCTGAAATGCTACTGTTTAATAAAGTCATTAGGGGCTTTTTGTGTGAGAAGCTTCATGGAGACTGTCAGTATCAGAGTTTGTACAAATCCACTGGGCTTCAAAGCAACTGTCAGTAAATTTTTTCAGAGGCACAGCTAATGAGAGCATCTTATTGTTCAGCTTGACAACTGAAGTTTAAATTCACATGTGTGATGCTATCCTTTATTACTAAATAGCTTGTTTCTCTTTTCTTCTCATTTATTTGAATCCTTTGTTTACTTCATTTTCAGTGGCCTTTTTAGGCGAGAATCATTAATACTATTTCTCATACTTGGTTAACGTTTCTCAAAACCCCCAAATAGTACACTCATTTATGCTAGAGACAAGGATGTGACACCTTAATATTTAATTAATTTTTTGTTTTATAATTTTTTTTAACCTCATTTACATGCGTTATTAACATCCATTTTAGCTAAATATACCAAATTGTTTTGTGACATTGTGACAGGTTTTTTACTAGCAAACACCACTCACGTTCTTTAGAAAATGTAAAAATCCATTTGATTTTGTTTGTCTTTGGGGTAACTGATGGTGTTGTGTTTGTTCGGCTCATTGACCTGAATGAACACCCTGAACACAGAGAATAGTGGAGTCCCTGAGCTGAGAGCTTTTTCTTTACTCGCAAATGGATTTTGGCGATATTTAAACCACACCCTATCTATCTCTTCTTTCTTAAATTGATAGAACCTGACATGATGAAAGAAAAAGGGTCATTGCAGCTTGGATAATGCGCTGCATTAATACCCTGCTATTGACTTGCAGAAATGATAGAAGAAATGCTTTTAGCTTGCTTATATCCTCTCACAGAGGTATAATAAAACATAAAACCATAAATCAAATCAAATATTGCCCACTGTTAGTATGTGACTTATAGTATCTTTGTTTTTACATATAGATGTGGCTGTTGCCTTTTCTGATTTATATACATTTATATTTATTTTTAAATTATATTTCTATTTACTACAGATTTCTTATCTGCATTCCACATCTATAAATGGAGTCAAAATATGAGTCGACAAGTCCTGATGGACTTATTATGTGGACCACTATGATAATTCAACAAACCGTGTGGCTTATGCTGCTAATCTTCACGAAATGTCAAATATAATCACTTCATCATGTGAAATGGTTTATTTTCCTTCATACTGAATTTGTATACGCTGCATATCATCTACCGAATGGTTATCACCTAGCAACCAGGCTAATATCGAGTTAGAATTACAGGGGCATTGGCAACATGTCAATTTTTTCCAGTCTTGACATCTATCAGGCAAGGTTAGAAAGTGAGATATTAGGAGCCCGGGGTTAGCTTGAGGAAATCAAGTGAAACAAGCATAGAAAAGTCATGAATATACATGGTCTAGCTTGTTGAGAATTTGGGAATTAGTCTCTGATGGTTTGCGTGAACGTGAAGTGGGTTATCAATACGCGTGCAGACTACGAGACATGGCGTGCCGGGAATATAGATTAGAGATGCAGTTGTTATATAGGTATGTGTGCACAAAATTATGTATTCACACAGACTTTGGCTAGAGATTTAATCATAGGCTTCGTAATGCATGAAGTCCATGCTCTTTTGGATATTCTTTCATTGTTTAATCTATTAGAGGTGTAGAATGCCTTTGAAAGCATCTCTGTAAGCTTGGTTTGGTTGGGGCAATCATTACCATGGCAATCATTCAGTATCATGGTATAAAACGATGATGGTGATTCAGGAACATCTGGATGATACAAATAATGTGAGCTACACCAAGAATTGTGAAGCCAAGCATGTGAGGTGTGAAGTCAGCATGCACAAGATATAAATATTTTATCATGTCTGTTCTGCACTGAACTACATTCTTTTATACAAACAAACCTTTATTTTTAGTTTGTGTGGGTAAAAGACAGGGACTTAGGCACTCTGGGTCGAGTACATAAGTGTAGAGATACTGTAGGTAATCATATATATAAAAAATAGTTTTTATGTTAAAAAATGCTGGATCCGTGTAGCATAAACTAGTTAATTGTGCTATAACACCTGCTAAGGTAGGTTTTCCCAAATGGGGAAATTACATGTAAGATGTAACATTATGAGAAGAGTTATTTACCATAAACCCCTTAAGTAAACAACTGGTGGTGTGTACATTGTTATGATGTAAATGATCACCTATTAATCCCTTCTGAGTTGATTATATAAGGATCATTTTCATAATATATTAGCAGGAACATGTGTATGCAGAACTCCGCAGAATTGTAATAACTTAAAGTTTTGCACATCTCCACTCCGTGAATATTTTTAAGTATTTAAACAAATATTTTATAGAGTGCTGCAGGAATGAATCCTGTAACCTATGAGTTCGCATTTTTATACTTCAGGTTCCATCGTGGGTTTTTTGAATGGGTTTTTGGTTGAATGCCTGAAATGAGGTCTGTGGTTAACACAAGCTCAAGATATTTGCATGTTTTATTCAATGACATAAAATAGTAATACCTCTTTTTTTAAGTTAACTAGTGGCTAAATGGGACTACAGAGTTTGTCTGGGACATTAAAAGTCATCACACCAAACAGAAAAGCTAATTTACTCACTCACCGCTTTTACAGCCTCATTGTGTTTATACTTGCACTCTTGCACTCTTGCAAAGTATTCTCACTCCAACTTTCCAATTTGTTGCATTTATATAAAGACTGAAAGAGTTGATAGTGGTGACGTTAAAGTCATGCAACCATGGTGTAGTTTGTTCATAGTCTACATTTAGCTTTTTTCTTCTTATGATTGTATTTAGGCTTCAAAATTCATGAAAGTTGTGTTCATTTGTGAAGATTATCATGATGTAAAATACATGCGAGAATCATAAACTTTTGTTGGTCACAGAACTTATTTTCTCCAGTAATCCAAAAGCCAGTGGAAAGATCCTATTGGGTTTTTGTCAAAGGAAGCAGGGTGATGCTAACTTCTGGGTTAGCCTACAAAAATACATTGTTACTGCAGTGCTCTATTTATGCTTTCAAATGCTGATAAGAGTGTATACATTTTAATTGTTGTTTTCAGGAGGGAACAAACTGAAGAACCAGCAGTTTCGTCTGAACTGGGCTTGGATTTCTCTGGAGAAACCGAACTATGCGGTGGATGAGCAGGACAAAGTTCTCGAGGTGATCCTAAGACGTAGAGGTTTTCTAGGTGAAACGTCTTTTGTTGGTGAGTATCAGTGCACTGGATCATTCTTTATTTGATTTTCTGACAGCATAATACTTTATTTCATACATTTTCCATTGGCCATCACCTAATTTTTGCTGAAAAACAAACTATTATCCAGAATTGATTAAACTTGTCAAGAAGTCACCAGTACAGGCGTTAACAAGGAATGATTAGCATTCAGTAGTGTCTATGTTCACAGTGAGAGCTGTTATTACTTAAGCTTATCAACGGGAAGCTGTTAAAGATGTTTTTCTAAGTGGTTTTGGCTCCTTTGTGTCTGAGATGAAAGCCCTCACTCTCTCTCTGACATCCGTAGAACAGTCTGAACACTTTTGAGCGTACACCTGCTTATCTTGCCCTGCACTGAGCTCAGCTCAGCCCCACATGTGGTCAGTATTCATGAAACCAAGGGTCTTTGTTCATGCTGTTTCGGATTTGTGGTGTGTGTGTGTGTGTGTGTTGGCTTGAAGGGATGTTGAGGATAAAAAGAGAGAATGTGAAAAAGTGAAGAGCAGAAGGCAAGAGAGATGAAAATGAAGGAGGGGAGAATGAAAAGCTGGATATGGGGTGTAAATAATGAGGTTCTTGAGTGCAGGTTAATAAAAATGAATGAAGCTCCCTGTCTCTAGGGGGCGGTAGGGGGATCAAGACCTCACCTTTCTGAACTTAATCATTCCGCTCATTTCTGCTTGTGTTCACTGTTCCTGCTGTGGATAGTGTGCTAACTCATAGGGTCCTTTTCCATTGTTTTTCTATGTGAACATGCGCATCTTTCGCAGCATTATAAAAACGCTCCACTTAAGTTACAAGTAGTTATGGAAGCCTGTTTCCGCCACTAAATAAAAATAAAAAAGGTAATTGCGACTTCTCTCATTTTCTCGCAATTGCGAGTGTACATCTCGCAATTCTGACTTTTTTTTTCTCAAAATTGCGAGAAATAATCTCTCCATTCTGAGAATATAAGTCTTTTTTTCTCCCTCAGAATTTTATTTTATGTCTCGCAATTGCGAGTTTACGTATATCTCACAATTCTGAGAAAAAAGATACAGAGTCACAATTCTGACTTTTTTCTCAGAATTGTGAGATATAAACTTACATTTGCAAGTTATAAAGTAAAAATTGCAAGGGAAACAGTCAGAATTGCAAGATATAAACTTAACATTTCAAGAAAAAAAAGTCAGAATTGTGAGCTTATATCTTGCTATTCTGACTTTTCTCACAGTTTATATTATGCAATTCTGACTTTTTCTTGCATTTGTGAGTTTATATCCCGCTATTCTGACTTTATATTTCACAGTTGTGAGTTTATATCATGCAATTCTGAGAAAAAAAGTCAGGATTGTGAGATGTAAACTCGCAAATGCGAGAAACAAAATTGTGAGAGAAAAAGTAACAAATTGATTCTTTTTTTTTTAATTAAGTGGCGGAAACAGGCTTCCATAAGTAGTTGCATTAAAAATTTAATTTTAATTTATTTTTCATTTTAATTTTATCTTAATTTTATCTGCAATTTTGGTCATTTAAAATAAAATGTATATTAGGCCACATTAAAACCTGGAACTACAGATGTTTCATTTCTTTTTTTTTTTTTTTGATTTGACGTGAAAGTGGCCTTCCATATAAAACGTCTTGTACTCAAATATTTAGTAATACACTTTAAAAAGTTTGGGATCGAGAAGATGTTTTTTGAAAGTGTTTTTTTTTTAATGTTTTCTATTTGAAATAAATGCAGTTTTTATTGTCTATTTCCACAAAAATATTATGCAACTGTTTTCAACACTGATAAATAATATTAATAAATGTTTCTTGAGCAGCAAATCAGCATAGAATGATTACTGAATGATCATGTGACACTGAAGACTAGAGAAATGGCTGTTGAAATTTTTACTTTGCCATCAAAGGAATAAATTACATTTTAAAATACTATCATATAGAACAAAGCTATTTCAGTTTGTAATAATATTTCACAATATTGCTGTTTTTACAGTATTTTTAACCATATGCCGCCTGGTGAGCAGAAGAAACTTCTTTCAAAAACTAATTTGATAACGTGTCACAATTAATTTGAAGTGGCAAGCAAAAGTGATTGCTTCAAATCACGGTTACAGAAGAAACAAAACACACATGGGTTTCAAACAACATTAGTGAGAGAAAATGATGTCCGAATTTCATTTTCGGATGAGCCATCCCAGTAACAGCAAAAGTGTGATAGTGACGCTCACAACCAGTGAAGAGTGTTTGAGATCAGGCTACATCTGCCTCTGTGCTCTTTGGAGCCTGGAGCTCTCTCTGCCAAACATATCTACCCCCACCCCTCATATAGCTTTCTACTTTTTCACACCCGCCTGCCTCTGCCCTTTTCTCTCCTTTTCCTCTTGTCTCACTCACTGTGGCTGGCGTCCTATGCCGTTTGTTGTGGTAAGAATGAGCCCCCCTGTTGTTAGAGAAATGGAATTGAACTCTCTCTCTCTCTCTCGTGGATAATTTTTTTTTTCACATGCATGGTTGGATGGAACATGTGAAGGCTTTTGTTCCATCTAAAGTTATATTCTGCTGAAAGCTACAGCTAAATAACCTTTAATGGCCATGAGGGAACGTCTAGCTGACTAAAGATGGTTTCAAATACGGCCCCTTAATTGCAGTGTTGGAGAGTAACTAATACATGTAGCAGAGTAAATGTAACCGTAATCTGTTACAGTTACTGAGAAAAATGTGCATTTAAATTACCATTACTTATGAAAATGTTAACGATTACAAAGGGGGTTACATCTGAATATTTTCACACACACACAGATTTGATTGATTTCTTTCCCAAACTGCATGGACTACTTTAAAATATGAGACCCCAATGTTTCAGGAGTTTAGGACACAGAAAAGGACACATGCTTACTATTTGATAACTTCTAATTTCGATTTGGGTTTATGTATATGCTCTATATTTTTAAAGACTTTTTTCCCCAAAGCATTGTTAGATGCCAGTGTTTCCTGTCATAGCTATGCAAGGATTTGATTTCAAAAACCGTATCATAGCTATTAAACTATATTATGATTTTAAATCTATATTTAACCTTAGAACAATCTCAAAGTAAAAGAAGTGCTAAAGTCAGATTTTTTGGTGGCTGTGCTTTAAAATTAAATTGTTATAACCTTAATTCAAGTGATGAAGGAGTTGGAAAATCTAACAGTAATCAGTGTTGAGCACTACTGTGAGATTAAACTTGCCTGCTTTAAATGTTTCAGAATTTATAATAGTTGAAAATGTTCATTAGAAATTTAGAAAAGTAATCAGTTACATTACTTTGAAATAGTTACACTACTTTTAAATAGGGTAACTTGTGATCTGTAACCTATTACATTTCCAAAGTAACCTTCCCAACACTGCTTAAGTGTGACAGAAATAAAATTATTTTAATTACAAAAATCATGTGTGATTTAAAAAAAAAATTTTTTTAGTATTTATATATTCTTATTGCTTACATATACTTCACTCATGATGTTTCTAATTTCTTTTTGAGGAGATTTTAGGTCTTAAATGTTACTTCAAGATCTTTAAGGGATAAAATTACAGTTCTCAAGGAACACAATCTTAGGCATCATTTATGCACTAAATATGATATAGAACAGTCTTTCAAATCTGAAACAAACAAATCTGAAGTTGTTGATACAGTCATACATTACATATTTTTTTAAATGTCCTTTAAATTTTGTCAATATTTCATCATGCAAATTCAAAAAAAAAATTCTTTAGCTGACAATATTAAATTTAATTATATTATTATGATATTTTGTATGTAACACTACTACCTGGAGGAAAACAGCCTGTGACTGCTTGAGATATCTGAAACCTATGGCCTGTATTCTGTTTAATTTTATGTACATTTTTTATGCTTGTAATGTCTAGTGGGTCAATATAAAAAAATCTATATTCATAATTAAATCCCTATCTGCAGTCTTTTTCCTACAATTTGCTTTTCCTGTCATGTAGTAGCTTAAGTGTTATGGATTGAAGCTCAGCGATCATCCAGCATTGATCTGAAATACTGAGGTGATTTAATTCCTCACATCTGTTTGGGAGGTTCTGGCAGACGGATCCCTGACAGTGTCTCTGCTTAATGTATCAGAGATCAAACGCTTCCGGGCAGGTTCACTGCAGGTTTTCCCTCTGAGTGGGAATCCCATCACAGCTTCGCACCAGTGTTACAGTAGAGAGGAAGTTGAGTCTACATGCTGTACTTTAGTTCAACATGTTCCTTGATTTTGTTCCTACATCCTAGCCTCGGGAGTATCAGACACCTACAGCCCTGGGGCTTTTTTCTTCTATACAAAGTGCATCTCTTTCTGTATGGCGTCGATAGTGCGTAGATGCCTGCGCTGTTGTGCTCGATCTTTATAAATCTGGAAAATGCAGACTTCGCTAATCCCTGCTCATAAATTTCATAATAAGCTTTTTTCTTTGAGTAGATCATTCTCAAAGTCATGAGTTGTGACACATCTGGAGGCTGGAGATATGAAGTCAGGAAACTTTGTCAACATTGTTACAGTATATTGTGTTATTTTAAGGGATTGGTACTTTGGATGGCAGTGCCGAGATGGAGAAGGATTTCCTGGGAAAATCGCAGAAGCAGGTGCAGTTTAACCCCGGCCAGACCACAGCCACATGGAAAGTGAGGCTTCTCTCTGATGGGAAATACGAGCAGTCCGAGACGTTCCAGATTATCCTGACTGAGCCAGTGATGGCTGTTTTGGAGTCACCAGCAATAGCCACTGTTGAGATTGTGGATCCAGGTGATGGTAAGTCCAACAGAAGTTGACCAAACATTTTATGATAAGCATGTAACAGTGAACACATTCTTAAGGCATTTACACTTGGCAGGTTTAGTTTGATTAAAACAAACTGTGGTGTGATTGCTCTGTTAGTGCGGTTCATTTGAAAAAGTGTGAAAGCTGCCATCTGAACCTTGGTGTGCACCACACAAGTGGACCGAGACCCACAAGCGAAATAAACTCTGGTGCTGTTTTACTGATAAATTAATTCAACATGGACCAAAGACATCTAAACGAACCAAAAACAGGACATGATGTCACAAGGCACGTCCCTAAAAAGGCCAGAATGCTGAAGTGTACCTGCACATTACAGTCCAGTACAATTATATAAGCTCTTTCTAAGTTATTAGCTGGGGAAAATACCACCATATGTAGTCAAGTCAAGTCACCTTTATTTATACTGTATAGCGCTTTATACAAAACAGACGGTTTCAAAGCAGCTTTACAGTGATACAAGAACATAGTGAATAAATGACAACAAACAATTCAACTCTGCTGTAAAACAGCACTGAAAAAACAAGTGTAAACTGTTCATGTCATTTCATCGTTGATTCAGTTTGGTTGAGTAACTGTGTAAAGTCCTTCAATTATGAAATGAGTTTAATTTATCTATAAAGCAGCTCTGGAGAAAACAGTGATTTCATCATCCGACTCAGTTCAGTGTTCAACTAGTAGTGTCTGTGCAGTCACGTCAATAAAATTGCCAAATATCAAGTGTCTCCATCTAAGCAAGCAAAAGGGGACAATGGCAAGGAACCCAAACTCCATCAGTGAAAGAAATGGAGGAAAAAAAACCTTGGGAGAAAGGCTTATGTAAACATACAACAAACTCATTTAGCACAGCATTGTTTTAAATGTTTGGTTAAGTTGTAAAATCTGTCCAGTTAGGTTGTTACTGTTTGCTTATGTCTTTTGTTTTGTATCTTTAGCTTCAGTGTTAAAAGTGACAGTTTTAAATGCTAAGTGTGAACCAGGACTAAACACATTATTTTCATTTTGGCCTGGACTAAAAGAATCAAGAGAATTAAACTTCTAGTATAAACACCCTTAATGTTTACTAAAGATTTAGTTTATATTTTCATATCCACCAGAAATATAAACAGAAATACTATTTTAAAGGCTAAAGTGTCATTTCTGTACCATTGGTGTCACTAAATGGAATTGGGTTATTAAAACTGGAATTAGAAACAAAATGTTTTCATTTTGGTTCATTCTAAACAAAAACTGTGTTTTTTATGTTCCACAAAACACTGTGGCCTCCTTTCCAAATGGTAATCAGAGAACATTAACTGATTTTTTTATTTAATTCCAACTAAGCATTGAAATGAAGTAACAGCCATAGAAAAGTACTAATTTATTCATAAACATATTATGTTCTATTACTGATGTTTGTTAGATAACAAACATCAGTCACAGACTTGTATGAAACTCAATGTAAAAATTGTCCCTACACCAAAATTCCGAACAATGGTGTTCATCATATGTCATCATCATCTGATGCACATTGACTTTTTGAACACATACTTATGTAAAGATTATATTAGATCAGAGTCCTTTTTCAGACCCATTCAATTCTTCAAAAATATCCAAACATCACCGCTTCAGCCGCTTAATATACCAAACCCCCATTACATCTGGTGAAGATGTGAGTGAGTCAGAGGATGTTCAAGAGAGCAAAAACACAACAAAGCTGCTAAAAACATCCCAAGATATTTTATTTTCTAAAATTTTCAGTGTTGCAGATAAAAACACAAACCTTATCTCTGTACTGCAGATGCCTTTTTCTCTCTTTCAGTGGACCGCAATTATCATAGCATTTTATATCTCTTCCTACCTGTGAGCTTCCAGCGCACCGCCCACCCCCGCGTTTTGGCGGCCTGTCTTTTCATCTACAATTCTGTGCACAGCTCTACGTCTTGTTTTGAAAGCATCTCGTCGATAAATGTAAATTGTCGACCGGCGTTTGAGAAAGCTTTGACACGTCTGCGCCAGCTCCCTCTGCAATTAAATCGTTCGCATATGAAAGTTAGTCGCGCAGGTTTTGAGGGGTCATTTTGAAGGGGGCGCCACACTTTTATCTGCGAGAACCCAAACTGAGAGGCATCAGAAAGCAGACAGCCACGCATAAACCTCTCATCAAGACCCCTTTCCAAGCAGCTCTCATTACAAAATACAGCTTTGTCAGTCTGTTGATCAAACCGTGTTTGTCTCACACTGTCTGTTTTGGGTTTTCTCGCCGAGAGCCATGACGGAATTATTTGCCTGTTCATCATCACGACATCATCTCATATTCTCACAATTACCGGCGTATTTAGATGTGCAGCGCGAATAACCGAAGGCTTGCGTTGTTTTATTCTGTGTGTTTTTGTCTTTATCTCCTCCTCAGGGTCCCTGGATAATTAAAATTTTCATCTATAATCCCAAACGCTGCGATAGTTTCCATCTGAATGTTACTTAAGCCTCACTATCTTTGCAGAAGTTATTTCTCCTTAGAAAAAAAGAAAGAAAACTCCACTGCTTCCCCAGTGAGCTAATTATCAGTCTAACGGTGGGGTTTGTTTGCTGAGGCTAATGTCCCATGGGAGGCTTAACGTGACAGAGTCTGGTTGCTCTTTCGAATGGCGAGAGGGAGGGGAGATGGTCGGCATGCTGCCGTCCTGTTGCTCCACGTGCAGTTTTTTTCCTTTCAGGTTAATTATCCTTTTAGCGTTTATGTGTGTGTGGCAGTGTGAGGTCGCCCTTCTCGCGCATTAATATTTGAATGCAAGAGGGAGGTGGTTTTCTTCCGACAGGGGCCTTCGGAAACCTGTCTGACCTAGTTGCCACAGAGCCGTTCACACATGATGGCTTACACCGACCTGCGGGCTCAGACAAAAGCCTGCATCTGGAGGCACATCTGTGACTGGGACGGCTGTGATGTGACAAGCTTCCTGCTTTACAGCCAGAACCTTTCACTGCTCATTAGTGTAAGGAGCAATAAAGGAAGAGCAGAGACTGGAAAGGCATTTTAAAGATGCTTACTTCGACTTTGCTTTCTGGTTTTAATGTCTTATGTTGGAAATGGGTTTAATGAAGGGTTAAATGGCTGTACCTTTCCTTGATTGAACACTGAAATACTTCATTTTAAAGATCATGTGAATCGAAAAGGTCAAGAAATCTACACTGTAAAGATACTTTATATCTTCAAAAAAGAAAAGCTTGGAAAGCAAAACTGTGTAGGACATTTAGGTTTGTTTTCAAGTAATATAAATTGAATTTAGTATTTTTAAATATATTAAAAATAAATGAATAAACCACACTAAATTACACTAAATTTAAACTAGATGTATAAATGCTTAAAACAAGAAAAAATTAATTGCAGATGGATGGATGGATATACTGTATGGATATTGATGCATGGATGGATGGATTCATGGATATAGATTGATAATATAGATGGATATGGATGGGTAATATATGGATCATGGATGGATAGAAAACTGAATCGGAAGGACTGAATATAGATGGATGGATGGATGGATATGCATGGCTGATATTGATCTGGATCTTGTTTAGTTTTGCTTCTCGATAGTTTGATCTTGTTTAAGGGCAATTATTACTTTTTTATTGGAAAACAACAATAATGCTAACTAAGAAAAAAAAAGAGATTTAAGAGTTTTTTTGTTTATTTTATTTATTGGTTGATTTTGTAATGATTTATTCCCAAAAATGTATTTGCAAGATTTATAATCTGACAAAAGAATACCTTTAAAGCTTTTTAAAGCAGTGTATTTATTAAACAACAGCTATTTACCTAATGCACTATTTATTAATTCAAAGTGAGTATAGAAAATAATATATAAATCTGTTATGATTGACAAGTATGCAATTAAAATAACTTGTCTGTACCATGCTATGCTATCATTCAAATTCAACCGCCTATCTGCAGAGGACTCTACCAAGAGCTGAATATAAATGCGCAGGATTTCACATTCTCATTGGCCTTGTTTTTGATCCTTACAAAACAAGGTCATTATTTCGGCCCCTCATGCAAGAGAGTTTCCTGTGTGAGGGTAAGAGACGGTCTAAATACGTAAGCCTTATACCTGAGAGGCTGCAGAGATTCGCCTCATTGTTATTCTTTTCTCACAGCCAGCGTTTGAGTCTTCAGGGCTGTAAGATCAGTCTGTACAACGCTCAGAGAGTGAACAGTGGACAACGTTCTGGTTTTGCAGAGAATATTTTGTTCTCAAGTTCACACTCTCTTGCCAATGTCATATAATTGAAGAAATCTGGGGTGGATAAATGGCTACTAAATATAGTAATTGCAGTCTTTCTCTCTTTTTCTTTTTGAGAACAAATGGGGAAAATAGGTCCTTATCCTTCAGATATATATATATATATATATAAAAAAGCCAGAATTTGTAACATAACTGCAAGTAACAGGGTCGTAGATTTAGCCTAAATTAAGGTGAAACTCAGCGGGGTGTAGCTAGTTTTAGACCAAATTTTTATAGCTTATATTTCCTATATAATATTCCCTATAAATATTTGATCATTTTTCTTATAATGACTTGAGTAACAGGGTTGAGCATCAATAACTAGTGTAAAAATGGAAACTATAGATATGTAAAAAATAATAATAATAATAATTCCCCATTATAATGCAAAGTTAATTTTATTGCACAACATTTGTGAATATAATATTTTTAAAAAGTCCTGGGACACCAGGTGTACTATATTCATGTTTTATCTTTCAAAGCTGTCAATGAAAATGCTATGTTTATTTATGTCTAAATGTTGTTTTCTTCACTCTCTTTGCTTCTTCTTTACCTATTACTTGAACAGCTTGTTGGTCTATGTTTCACCTCCACTCTCCCTTGGTACCAAATGACCACTTGCAGATTGATGATTAGAGCTGTTTGCAAAGGATCATGTATAATTGCATAGAAGGATCTGGGCAGGACGGGCCACGCAAAAAGGGACCTTTTTTTAATATTGGTCCCAGTGCGGCTCCATTTCAGAAACCGCAACAGCCTTTCACTAGCTCTGACTTTTCTATAGATTTTCCATCTCTGGATAGAGCATTTTTCTCCCTCCTTTTTCTTTTGGTGCTATAAAAAAATTGTTTAGATGTTGACTCAGACTTAACCTGCGGTATTTGAAATAGCAATGCCTGAACAAGCTCCCACTCAGTCAGACGGTTTACTCTGTAACACAACGCAATACACAGCCGGTATGGACAGATATCGATGCCGCTTAGTCCAAAGGCCACTAAAAACCTAATATGAAGGGCTCAATATGAAAAATCTATTTTCTCATACAAAATGTGTTTTTGCTTTTTGTGCAAGATAAATGTGCATTACACGCCCGGTATAGAGGTGTATGATTTGAAATAATTATATATTGAAGAATCAATCCACCGCCTGTGGTGTTTTAAAGCCCTGTTGTAATAGTCTTTCTGACAGGGAACCGCTAAATCCCTCTGTGACTGATATAACAGAACAGCAGTCCTAATACTGAGCTATATCTTCTTTTCCCTTTGACAGAGTCCACAGTGTTCTTTCCTCAGGCCAGCTTTGCTGTGGAAGAAGATATTGGAGAACTCCTGATCCCGGTGCACAGGAGAGGAGACGTCAGTGAGGAGCTGCTAGTGGTCTGTCACACTCAGCAAGGTGCAATACACCGTATATACAACCTGATATAAGTTCTCATTTTTATACCAACAATCATTTTATATATATATATATATATATATATATATATATATGTTTAATTATAAAATGTTTAATGATCAAATTAGCCTCTATAAAAGAAATAAAAATTGTTTTATTTTATTTTTTATATTTTTACCACATTTTTACAAAACTTTTACTGTTGACGTTATTGAAATAATTTTGTATTGATCTTTTATCAGTCTTATTTAAAATACTGTAAATAAATTTCAAAACTCCTGACCTGACCAATATTCTCAAAATTGGTTTAAAATGTGTCCAGGAAGTGTTTTTTAAAGGTATAGTTCACCCACAAATATTTCAGAAATGGTTCTTAAGATCCTTTTGTGCTGCTCTTTCCACACAAGTTTAAAATGTCCATGTCTCACTAGCTTCTAATAGACAGACAGACAAACAGACAGATCTATCTAAAGGCTTCTTAATTCATGTGTTATTCATTAATTAAGCCTTAATTCATGTGTAGAATTCAAAAATATTATTGTCAGTGTCATTCATACCAAGCCAGCATTTAATTTTGTGTGTTTCTACTTTGTGTTCCATGAAAAAAAAAGGAAATGGGTTTGAAACGAGGTTGAGTAAAGAATGACAGCCATTTTTGTAAAATGACATTGTCATTTTTTAGCAAACTATCCCTTTACAGATTCTTTTGAAGCATCTGTAAACGCTTTATGTGGATTTGAATGAATTCCCTGCATGTGTCCTTTCTGTGCTGCTGCAGGCTCCGCCACAGGAACCGTCCCCACTTCTGTTCTGTCCTACTCTGACTACATCTCCCGTCCAGAGGAGCAGGTCAGCATTCTGCGCTTTGATAAGGACGAGACGGAGAAGCACTGTCGTGTGGTGATCATTGACGACTCGCTGTATGAGGGAGAGGAGAGCTTCAACGTGACCCTCAGTATGCCTATGGGAGGATGTCTGGGGCCAGAATACTCCACTGTGCTTATCCGCATACTGCCAGACCAGGACGACGGTAAGGGCGTGTTTGCTTTTGTTTGATTAAAAGTAAACATTTAAAGGAACATGAAATCTTCACTCCAGGAAATATTGATGGTCATATTGACGATAATATACTGTACACGTGACCTGAACAAAGAAAGAAACAAACTCACTTCTGTGTCATAAACGGGGTGAATAAGTAGGAGCCAGTGTTATATTAGTATTATTTCAATTTTAGTTATTTTATTACCAATTTGAAATTACCAAAATTAGAACTATTATATATACATATATATATATATATATATATAAAATATACAATATTTTTATTATTTAATTTAATTATTTCTTATATTATTATTTAGTGATATTTGTTTAGGTTTATTTTATTTTATGGAACCAGTTTTTTATGGTTTTAATTTTTTTTTTAACTATAATAAACATGGTTGGAGCTGTGGCATAGTGGTATAGTGCTCATGCTATAGCGCTTATGTGGGAAATTTGAGTCTGGCTCGCGTCATTTCCTGTTCCACTTTTTCCCCAAAAAACAATAAAAGTACAAAAAGTAACAAATAAAAACTAGAATATTTTTTCTTTTAAAAACATTTATTACTTACAATTCAGTCTGTAAACCATACAAATAGAGCTATTCATGGTCCATATCATGCTCAGACAGATATTTATTTGTTAGTTCAACACGCAGTGATATTTAAAGAGCCATTTATCTTTTTCCAAAGCCTTGTATAGCGGCAGAATTTCTGTGTCTCTTGCACATACAGCAGCCAGCGGATGAACCCAGAATAGACACAATGCACATGTAAATGGGCAACGCTGAAGTTTGCATAGGAGTCTCTTTTTCCTCCAGCGTTATGAGGCCTGAAATCACAGATAAAGTTGAGTTATTCTAAAGCCTTCTTTCCTCAAAGCAACAGAATTAATTATTTTTCAGCAGAAAGCGAATGGATTTTTGTTCTTTTATCTCTGTTTTGCTGTTATTATGGCACCTCTCAAAAGTTTGCTGAGGAAAATAGGAGCCACTGGCTTAGCCCACCTCAGACAGAAAGCGTGAAATTGCACTCAGGAGAGAGCTGGAAGGGATAGAGTTCATCCTTTGGCTGGGAAACTATACATACACATGTGTATATACCGCTGTGCGACTGAATCCCTGTGCTGCTCGATGCTTAACGTGGATTAGTGCTAATTCCCATGTGACACGAAGGTGAAAGCTTTCATCAAGTTAAGTTCAGCTGAGCATGCTGCATTCGGTATATCTGACAAATAGTGTTTATTAAAGCATAAAGAGAGAGTGTGTGTGTAAGTAAGAGACTGTGTAATTAGAGGGTGTTGATGGTGCTTTGTTTTGGCACGTCTTTCTGAGTCTTTACCTTCCTTTTAAAACCCCTCGCACACACACCTCAGGCTACTGAAGTTTTTTCTGGGGCAATCCTCTTGTCTATGGTACAATATCCTAAAGGTATTAGATCTTATCTCGCTCTATCTGAAGCCATTATCAGTAAATCTGGGCTAAAACCACCTAAACATCAATCAGCATCCTGCGGTAGCAAAACACTCCTTAAATTCAGTGTTAGAGCATAGAGTTTCAGCCTATTGTGATTATTTATGTTTAACATGAAGGCTATGAGGTTCCTTAAGGCTTTAATCATTTACTTAGTATTTTATATTATATATAAATATATTTAATATATAAACATAACATATATTTTTCTTAAATATATATGTGCATGTGTTTGTATTTATATATACATAATATATGCGTGTATACTGTGTATATTTATTATGTAAACAAAAAACGTTTATTTTGGATGTGATCAATTGTTGGACAGCACTAATATATATATTACATATATATGTATATGTATCTTTTTTTGCATTGCAACAAGCTCAAATCACCTAAAATGTACTTACATTTTATTATGGAATGAAATATCAATAACAATGGTAATCTAATAAAAAATTACTATTTTACCTAGTATACACTACAGTAGGATTTTTAAACAAAATGTAAAAAAAACATTTCAGCGAGGATGCATTCAATTGATCAAAAGTGACAGTTAATATCTCTATAATGTTACAAAGGATTTCTATTTCAAATAAATTTTGTTTTTTAGAACTATTCATTAAAGATTCCTGAAAAACAATTTATCGCCGTTTCTACAAAAATATTAAGCAGCACAACTGTTTTCAACAGATAATGTTTCTTGAGCAGCAAATCAGCATATTAGTATGATTTCTGAAGGCTCATCTGACACTGAAGACCTGAGTAATGATGCTGAAAATTCAGCTTTAACATCACAGGAATAAATTACCATTTAAAATATATTACTTCTTTTGAAATTGAAATAATATTTCATAATTTAAAATATATTTTTTGATCAAATCAATGCAGCAATGGTGAACATAAGAGGCTTCTTTTGAGAACACTTTTGTAGTGTATACATGCGTGATTTGTATTTTATATGCATTTTAGAGCATTGTGTCAATTTGGAATCAATTGAAACGGAAACTTGATCTTAAATTTAAAAAATGCGACACACTTGCATGAGATGCTGAAAAATAGTGTGTGTGTGTGTAAGAGTTATTTTTCTACACACTTTCTACTTGTGAAATGCTGACTGTGAATAGTAAAAATGAAATTCTGTATGAAATTGTGCATACCTCCAAAATCTGTATCATCCCGTTCTCCTCGGTTTCTCTCTTGTGCACACACACTAGCACATACACACAAATGAATTATTGATCTGGTGGCCCTAGTTGGGCTCCTCAAGTAGGTTGTGTATCATTTCTGTTTTTATTTTTCTGTTTATCAAATTTTCAGATCAGAATGAAGCGAGTGAAATTTAGGCTATTCTCCATGTGATTTAGATTTATGTTGAGTGGTTAACAGCAGATGGAGAGATAAACACAGCTCTGACAAAGTAAAGTACAACACCTCCCCCAAATGATCAGAGACAATGAGAAAAAAGACTGGAAGTGTGTGCACGTGTATATATGTGTGTGTGTGTGTGTGTGTGTGTGTGTGTGTGTGTGTATATGTATGTGTATATATTTGTGTGTATATATATATATATATATTTAAGGTAGGAGTTTGCAGGTAGGTAAACAGACAAAGGTTGACTCCCTCAGGCAATGCAGGAATGATTTTATCTCTGAATGCTGGAGAGAAGATCTCAACGAGCAAGGAAAGAAGGTCAAAACTACAGCTGTAAATTCAGTCCAAAACTCAATTACTTTCTCTCAGTTGTGTGTATGTGTGCTAAACATGAGAAGTGGTTTGCTGCTGCCTCTGTATGAGCAAGACCGCATTGGAGGGTAACTAAAACTAGTGAAAAACTATACACTTTTCAGTTGAGTGATGGTAGTTTAGCTGTTTTCAAAATACTCTTGCTTTTTTCAGTAAGTCGGTGAGCCGTGTGGTGGACTAAGTCAGGAAGTTACACTCCATACTGCTGTCTCTCTCTGAGAGCTAATGAACTGCATCAAAACAAACATGGTCCGGATGCCGAGCTCAGTGTTGTTTGGCTGGCAGCGACTGAGCACACTGCAGATTAAAACTGAAGAGATGTTTTGCTGCAGGGATAAAGAGTACAACAAAGACTAGTGACTCCAGTGAAACATCTGGTCCTCACTGCAGGATGTTCTGGCTCCTTTAAAAGGAAGAGACCACCTGATTTATATGTAAAAATTACTATTCATAGTTTTTGTTTTTATGTGCCATTTGGGCCAGGGTTACTGAAATTAATTTGACTTTATTAATATATTTGCATGGGGAAAATAATTCAAAGATGCCAGCAGTCTTTGTTAAAGGTTATCTTGAAAACTGAAAATAGCAGAAAATGTGTTTAGAATTTCCATTGTATGTGATTTTTTTTAAAGGGGTCCTATTATGCTCTTTTACAAAGTTTTGATTTTGTTTTGGGGGTGTACTGGAACAGGCTCTCATACTAGGTTGTTCGAAAAACACATTATTTTTCACATATTTTACATTATTACAACAACCAGTTTTTTATGGTTTTAATTTTTTTTTTAACTATAATAAACATGGTTGGAGCTGTGGCATAGTGGTATAGTGCTCATGCTATAGCGCTTATGTGGGAAATTTGAGTCTGGCTCGCGTCATTTCCTGTTCCACTTTTTCCCCAAAAAACAATAAAAGTACAAAAAGTAACAAATAAAAACTAGAATATTTTTTCTTTTAAAAACATTTATTACTTACAATTCAGTCTGTAAACCATACAAATAGAGCTATTCATGGTCCATATCATGCTCAGACAGATATTTATTTGTTAGTTCAACACGCAGTGATATTTAAAGAGCCATTTATCTTTTTCCAAAGCCTTGTATAGCGGCAGAATTTCTGTGTCTCTTGCACATACAGCAGCCAGCGGATGAACCCAGAATAGACACAATGCACATGTAAATGGGCAACGCTGAAGTTTGCATAGGAGTCTCTTTTTCCTCCAGCGTTATGAGGCCTGAAATCACAGATAAAGTTGAGTTATTCTAAAGCCTTCTTTCCTCAAAGCAACAGAATTAATTATTTTTCAGCAGAAAGCGAATGGATTTTTGTTCTTTTATCTCTGTTTTGCTGTTATTATGGCACCTCTCAAAAGTTTGCTGAGGAAAATAGGAGCCACTGGCTTAGCCCACCTCAGACAGAAAGCGTGAAATTGCACTCAGGAGAGAGCTGGAAGGGATAGAGTTCATCCTTTGGCTGGGAAACTATACATACACATGTGTATATACCGCTGTGCGACTGAATCCCTGTGCTGCTCGATGCTTAACGTGGATTAGTGCTAATTCCCATGTGACACGAAGGTGAAAGCTTTCATCAAGTTAAGTTCAGCTGAGCATGCTGCATTCGGTATATCTGACAAATAGTGTTTATTAAAGCATAAAGAGAGAGTGTGTGTGTAAGTAAGAGACTGTGTAATTAGAGGGTGTTGATGGTGCTTTGTTTTGGCACGTCTTTCTGAGTCTTTACCTTCCTTTTAAAACCCCTCGCACACACACCTC